TTTTAAATAATTTAATATAAGAAATTAATAAGCATTTTTTAAAAGAACCGCAAGGTGTGGACAGTGGTCGAAACCAAAGGTTTGCTGAAGTGCTACTTGGCCCGGAAGGAGGAGTTTCTTCACACTAGGAAAAAAAGAAATGCCTATGCTCATGTTTTGGAAGACATGGTAGCACAAGGCTTCACAGTAAGTTGAATGAGTGTTTTTAATTTGTGTTTTTTTAATTTGTTTTATTTTTATATAGGACCCTTCCACAACCCCGGTTGCATTAGAAGGCAAAATGCGGACTTTGTTGTCTGCCTTCAAGTGCGCGAAGGACGCTGTAAGAACTGGAGATACTCCATGTATTGCCTCTTATATGGAGGAGATGGAGATTTTCGGCAATAGCGCTCTGGTTGCCAATAAGCACACCTACCATCTCCTTCGGAACCAGCAGCAACTCAACAGCTATTATCCTCCCACCTTTCAGCAGCACCAATATATCACGCACCATTCTAAAGGCAAGGAGTATCCCCATCGCCAGCAACATCACACCGTCCCGCTTCCACAAAGCAGATATCCCACAACTTAAAAGTGGCCAACATCATCTCACTGCTCCTCACCATCCTTACATCTCAATTACAAATAAAAGCCATTTCTTACTAAAGTTAGTAGCTCGTTATCCATTTTTCGTTGTAAATATAAATTTAATAAAAAATTTTTAAATATTAAATATTTTTTCCCCGATTTGTTTTCATTATGAACTGTCAAATAACTTAGTTGTGTCAAGCAACTCATTAAGTGCTTCCAAACAAATGTAACTTTTGACATCTCTTTTTCAGTGCTGCTAACGTATGTTTATCTATGCCAGTTGTTTCATCGATTCGCCACTCGCTAACGGATGCCGAAACGAATACGGCTATAGTTTAAAAATTATTCCTGAAAAAAAATATCAAAACCGAATATACCAGTCTAAGTACTTAAACACATACATTTGTAAAAACTTAAGCTGCCCTGGTTCAAGTTTCCTTTCCCACTTCCCCAACGCTCTTCATTGCATACAAACTACTCTTAAAGGCCAAACGCCAATGTTTGGTAACAAAATGTATACACCCAGAGATTAGCATTAAATTTTCTTCCACTTGACTTTCTCACTTTCACTAAGGGTCATTCGACCTTGGGCACACTGCCAGTGTCCAAGTGTCCTGCAGCGCCAATTGGCGTCGTAATTTATGCATGAAATGTGCTGCCAAGTCAAATTGTCACATAGAAATCAAATCAAGATACATGCTGATGGCATGCCACAATGCAAATGTACCTCTACTCATGTGAGAAGCTATCCATACGTTAGTAAATATGGATAGTAG